AAACAAGAATTTATTTAAGTAAAATTTATTTAAGCTTTATACATATTTTATTGTTATTACTAATTCATTTAAAATGTAAGCATATATATATTATCTTACTTGTAATTATTCTCGTTTGATATTTCCCTATACGACCATATTTTTCTATGATAGCAATTTCGTTTTTATTTTTTATTTCGTTACAAACATGCTGAAGTTGTTCTAGTGAATCTCTGATCTATCAATCAATAATATTTTATACAGTTTTCGCACAAAATATTAAAAAATTGTCATACTTGAAGATTTATTTATGACGAATATATATAATATTTGTCTGGAAACTGTATAGCATATATTTTACTTACAATATGGGCGTTAATCCAAAACGAATGATATTTAATCGCATAGCAAATGAAGAAAGATGCTGAAGACAGAACATTAATAATGAGATCTGCAGTGCATTTTGAAGTCAAAAACGTTGTAAACTGCAAATAAGTAATTATGTCGAAAATTTTATATTAAAAGAATAATTACTTAGAGTTATTAATAAGTTTCGAATTCTTTTCTCTTAATTATTGTTTCGAGTATTAACAATCACTTATTACCACCTGAAATACAATAAAAGTTGTTAAAACAGTAAAAAGTACGATAAATTGAATTTGAGCAAGTTTCGATCTCTGGTGAGGCCATAAACCAATCGCGAGCAAAAGAAATCTATTGAGCCTGAAGTGTTTCGTCTCAAGGCAGATCATCTTTGTAAACACTAAAGTACATTTAACCGTGAAAAGTAAGAAATTATCTCTTCCCTTTTTCCGATTCTATTAATCTAACAGTTGGCAATTCTTTCTATTTTTCTCTTTTTGTAAATTGTAACTTCAATTGCTTAATATGTAAAGCGAAATGCAATAACGTCACGAGCTTAAAGTACTTAGAATTCATCACTTTTTTATAAGAAAAACGTTATTAAACGATCGATTTAATTGAGAGAAATTTAATAGATGTTTATATCCTATGGAAAAACATTCGCATAGGGAAAGTCGATAGATAGCCGCGCAAGCGCAATCATCTTTTTATTGTAATATGCTTTTCATTCTAATGCATGCACTCACAAAGTTTGATCTTTTAATATAGTGTTTATTATTAAATTTAGTCTTAAGTATCAACAAAATGTGTTTATTCTTAAATTATTGAAATATATACTTTATTAATATTTGATTTGTGTGTAACGCTTTATATTGAAAGTATTTATATTTTACATATACTTTTGTATAACATTATCCACAGTGATGTTATAAGTAAAGGTTTCTAATAATTCTTTATCGGAAAAAATTAATTAACTTCACATTTCTGATAATTTGTGTAACAAACACATTGAAAGTGAGTTTATCTTCATATTAAACCAAAAAAGAAGGAAGGTATGTGTATATATATATATATATAAAGTATATATGTATGTATAAAATTTATATATACATATTACATTATATGTATACGTAAAATATATATATTATTTGTATATACATATTAATATATTTATGCATTATATATATATGTATATATTATTATAAATTATTTATTACAC